TAAAACCTCTGTTTACTTTGGTGTGTCCGACTCTGTGTGTCCTTCTGGTGTTACTAGGCCCCACTACATTAGCATTATAGCATCATCAAACATCACGAAGTTTGGCTAACATTCTTTAACCACATTTTGTTTGGAAAATGGCTTTGATATATTTTAGAAAAGCCACTAGCACGAACATGTTAGCATTGACTTTCAAGTTTGATGTTATTCAAGTTTGTCAGTTAAATAGAAGTAGTTAGCAGCTCTACCTTGGAAGGTGATTGCAAGGCCCCACTACATTAGCATTATAACATCATCACACCTTATGCAGTTTGGCTAAACATTCAAGTTTTGACCACATGTTGCATGTAGATTATGAAAAACAGTATTGAAATCTATTAGAGAAGCCATTAGCTTGAACATGTTGCCTTTCGAGCTTGATGTTAATCCAGTTTTGTCAGCCAAATAACAGTTGATAAGAGCTCTTCATAGTTACATAAAACCTGTTCTGTCTTTTAAACAAATGCATGAGCATTTCATAAAGTGTACAAAGCTCAGTGTAACCAACTGACCACATACGCAGCCTTCATTTTCTATGCTGTACGATTGACCATCTCCATCTACTCAACAATAAAGGACTGTAATGCAAACTCCATTGGCCTGTAGAGTCTTTTTGTGTAGAGTCAACTGGCATGACGGGGTCAAATGGCCCTTATATTGGCAGGTGAACTAAAGGAGGAAAGTACGGGAGGGGTGCCGAAACTGAAGATGCGGGAGATGTTCTTGAGAAAGGAGGGGGCCGAGTGAGTGATATTTAAACCCCAGAGGTTTTCTCTCTCTCCTCATCTGTTCCTCAGCTCTTCGGCTGTCTATCACTATCTCCTGCACTTCATTACAGACAAAGGAAGCACTCCGTAGGCAATCAGGTAAGACAGACAACTCAGACGAGAGAAAGGACTCCTTTCTCTCTAAGCAGAAAGCTAATGAATGCTCTTTTGGATTGGATAATCTACTGGTAACTTTTCCGGTAGTCTTATTCAAATATCTGTCCATAGGTCAGTGCTCCCATTACTTTTGTGTGAAGTTCTCATGGGATATAGACATAACCTTATAACTTATATGAATGTCTAGTCTTCGAAGTTAAACTAACTCAAATTGAAACATATGTTTCAAACAGATTTTTAAACCTTTAAATATGCATATAGGGTGAATTCAGGTAAATTGGGACACGTTTTGCCATTGTGTGAAATCTTGAAGAAGATAATGTTTAAGTTGAAGGACTAGTCTTGGACCAGGGCCTTTAAGCTGAAGACAGGTAAAGTGAAATTATTGTTATTTTTTAACTTTTATTTTAAAATCTATCCATATAAAAATATAATCCAAATGGTCATTTGAATAAACATCTCTGAACTACTCTACTACTCTATACAGAATAATAGAAACACTGAAGTGTCCCACTTTACCATGTATTCACCGAACAACATGCCTGTCCTAAAGAATGGTTTTGTTTTTGATTTAAAATGTATGTAATATATCAATGAATGAGTTCGATTTATATTTGACAGGTTTTGTTTTCATGTAAATAAATGAATCTCTCCTCCTTTCCATGTCAAAGAACGGTCAGTTCCTCAGTGTCACTGGGTCACTTGGTGTTACATTTCCATTCTCATCTTGGTTGCCATGGCCTCACGGTGTCCATTCTATACCATTCTGATACTGCTAATGAGAAGGTGTTTCTGTATCTTATGTCCTACAAAAACATGTGCCATCATTTCACCTTTCAGCTTACTTTTTCAAATTATCTTGCAATTTAAATAGTTTATTGCTGTTCTTCTATCTTCTGCTGCCTTATAGCCGCTTTGTCCTTTTTT